TCTGCATGATGCATTTTTCCTTATTTAGTGGAGATATTAGTAATTAAACTATATTTTCTCTTCTTCCAGATATGTTTTTTCAATCACAGTTTTTTTTTTTCAAATGGTTTGTAACATCCCACATCGACCAACGGAGAGAGGGTGATGTGCCTTATATGTACATGCCCACCTCCATATAGCATGAGGCATTTTGGTGGCTTACTGGCTTCAGATTCCATCCGAACTCCGAAATTAAGCGAGTTCGGGCGAGAGCATTCTCAGGATGGGTGACTCTCTGGGAAGTTCTTGTGTGAATTTCTAGAAACCAAATCTTGAGGGTGTGGCTGGGGCCCAAAGCAGACAATATCGTGCTACGGCGGAGTCGAGACTAGGATGTGACAAAATGGTATCAGAGCAACTCTGCCGTTTGGTGCAAGTGTGCCGACAAGAACGTCGGGCCTCTAAGGGGGTTGGATTGTAACATCCCACATCACCCAATGGAGAGGGGGTGATGTGCCTTATATGTTGGAAATGTGCCCTAAAACCAATCATATGATGATACTTTATGGACATTTCACATGTTAAACTAATCTAGTTTAATATTAAGGGCAAACATTATTGTTTGAGCCGTCTCATATAAATGTTATATGCTTAAACGATAAGTCCAAGGAATATGTGATTGGAAGAATGCGATCTAAAGAAGTTAGATTCATGAGACCATTCTTTCGTAGACACATCCTAAACGTTCCTGATCATAGGATTGCCAATTGGGCATTGACAGTCCGTTAAGATCAGTACGTGCTGTGTCTTCTCTCAGGGAGAGTGACTAGTCTCGAGTCATTGGTGTGAATGACACCAAGACAAACATGTAGGTGCTCAATAGAGAATGAGTTCACTGAACACGATCAACGAGGAGTTCTCATATTCATGTCACATGAGAACTCATGGTTGGGATAATGCAAAGTAGTCATTTGACCTGAGGCATCACAGCTGTCTTGTGGTTAGGTACTTGATCTTTGATTATGTCAAAGTCACTTTATCAGGGTGTCCACGGCATCGTCGGGGTTAAGCCACTTAGCCATGGAGGCAAGTGAATGCGCAACAAGGGATCTCTAACCTTCAAACTGTTTGAGGGAGAATACTCTATGATATGATTTAAAATCTCTGGCCAGAGTATGAATGAGATGTTGGAATGCGTTCCAGATCACATTCAAAGTAATCATATAAGTACAAGATTCACATTGGATAGTAGACATGAATAAACTATCAAACCAAACAATGTGGTCAAGAGTATTGTATTAGAGAAAGACCGTATTGCATTTGTAATCCTAAAACTGAATAGGTTCTCCACCTCTTCTGATTAGCTTGGGTAACCATGACATGCTGCTAGGCGTCAACCATGGTTTGTGGAAGCCCTAAAAGTGTATTATCACTAACGGGAGAATTGAAAGTAAGTTTCAATTCACAATCGATTAGAAAGAGTTTTTAATCGCCCACTGCCTCGCTAAAAGGAACCTAATGGATCGTTCACCGAGTAAGGTAGAGTTTGAAGAAACAACGGAGATGAGTAAGAATAATTAAATGGTTTAATTATTTATCTAAGGCTAGGATTAATTAATATGTTAATTAATCAAACGAATAAGTTCGTTAAAGACCTCGGGTTAGTTTTGGGCCGCAAGGCCCAATGGGATTTGAATGTCAAGCCCATTAACTCAAGTTGTATGACAACTTGAATAAATAAAGGGCTTGAAAGCCTAATGAACCCTATAGGCCGGCCATGATAGAAGAATAGGGCTTTTGATCCATTAGGTTACTTATTTGAAGGGACTATATAAAGGACTTTATAGCCTAAAAATTTACATATGGTAATTTTTGGGGAAAGGATGAGAACACAAGCTCTCCTTTCTCTCTAAAAATTTCGGCCACCTTGGAGGGATCATCTAGCAATCAAACTCCTCCAAGGTCACTCATTTCTTCTTCATTATGCCTTGGTGATGAATCATTAGAGGTTCTCAATTTTGGGAACTTGGAGAAACCTTTTCATCCATCCAAATCCATGGATCTAAGATGCAAGGAATGAAGGCCCTCTCTTTGGGTGATTAGCCTTTGCTTATGCAAAGAGGAATCTACAAAGGTATTGATTTCTCAACTCACTTTGTTTTGAGTTGAGTCTTGGTTCACCTATCTACTAGGCTTTGAAGTTCATGGGTTAAGTTTTGTTTTTGAGTGCATATAAACATGATTCCGCCTTTTAATTGTTAATTGCATGTTGTTGATGTTGCTCAAATGAACTTGTTTTTCACAAATCTTCCTTCATTATATGTACATGCCCATCTCCATATAGCACGAGACTTTTTGGGGACTCACTGGCTTCAGATTCCATCGAAACTCCGCAGTTAAGCGAGTTCAGGCGAGAGCATTCCCAGGATGGGTGACCCTCTAGGAAGTTCTCGTGTGAGTTCCCAGAAACAAAATCGCGAGGGCATGGCCGGGTCCCAAAGCGGACAATATTGTGCTACGGCGGAGTCGAGACTGGGATGTGACATAGTTGGTGATCAACATAAAAGCTTCGTGTAATTTTTTCAATTTTTTGGTGAAATTATATTTTTTTTGCTGTTTTTTTCAAGTATAGTTGTTGACGAATTATTATTAGGTACAATACATTACGTATATATTATCTGCAAATACATTTGAATTTACAAAAATCATTAATTGATACGTTTATTTGCAATTTTGGTATGTTTGATTTGATACATATTGTTCATATTGGTACATTATTTTTATTTTGGTACGTTTTATTTTGTACACATTGTGTATTGGTATGTACTAAAAGAAAAACTTATTTCGGTACGTTTCATTTTGTGGGATTTAAAAATATTTTAAACTATTTTGGAAAGAAAATATCTTAAATCGTAGATAATTATTTCTAAATTGTACCATTATTGTGAAAATAAATTGAATCTGACCAATTTTTTTTTTTTTTTTTACAATTATCTCTAACGGAGGAGAGTGTAATCAAAAGGCTAGATTATGGGAAATTTGTTACAATATAATGTGCCTATAACACCAAAATTATGACAAAAAAAAGTTTAATCAAATCACTAAAAGATATAGATGTTTAATCTAAAAAATTCAAAACTGAGGCACCTATATCAAAATATCTCTTTTAGTTTTTACATTTGAAAATTTATGCCCTTTTAGTTGTACCACAAAGAAAATTCATTCATTCTCTTGGTGATGGGTCCCATAGATGGGAGTTTTTTTTTCGGTTGTTGTTGATTTAGCATAATGATCACGGATCTAGTTTTTTTTTATTTTTTTATTTTTAATGTACATTCGGTATTATCTATCTTAAGAATAGGAAGTAAGATTAGCCTTACAATAAGTTAACAATAATGTGATTTAAATTCGTTTTTGGAGAGAATAGAACCTAAAACCTCACACTTACAAGTTAGAGATGCTTATAACTTTAATCCTCAATTCACGAGTAGGAAACTTAGATGAATATTTGACACACATGTTTACTTAAAAAATTAGAAGGAAAAATCATGAATCGAGGAAGTAGAAAATATGATGAAAGAATTTCATATAAATTCAACTACTCCTAATAATTTTGATTCTTGGAATGAGAATGAAAAGTCATGAATTGGAAAGTTGAGAAGTCAAGAATTGATACGAGTCTATTCTATATTATTAAGAGAACCCTTATTGTCATTTTTTTTCCCTTTTTTTCCTATTTTGCCCTCTTTTTTTATGCATACTATTGACAAAAAGGAGGGTAGAATAGTAATTTTATTTCTTTTGACAAAATTACAATCATGTCCTTATTTTTCCCATTTTACCCTCTTTTTCTTTTTCTTTTTTTTTTTTTTTTTTTTTTGAGAAAATGACAATCATATACTTATTTTTCTAATTTTACCCCCACTTTTGATACACAATATTGACATAAGGAGGACAAAATAGAAATTGTTCACACACACAAAGTGTGTGCTCTCTGCTAATTTTAATTGTTATTGAACAATTTTTATTTTATTTTTAGTTATTGAATTTCAATTCAAAGTAGAACTCAAATACTTTTTCGATCCATGTGTTATAACTCAAATACTTTTTCAATTCTAGTAAAATCTAATTCTCCATTTTTCAGGTTTTGAATTATTGTAATGTGAGACTTATATATATTCTTTATTTTTTATGTATAATAAATACATGAAAATTATGAATCAGAATATTTCTAATGCATAAGTCTGAAATTGAAATACTTCTAAAACGTAAGCGAGGGTGGAGCCACCATTAGGCTAGGGTTGAACCCCAACCTAGTGCAAAAAGTTAGAATTGTTGAAATTTAGAGCTGATTTTAGTGAGGTTCATTGTTGTTAATGAAAATCAGTCCACCTTTTCCTTGAAAGTTTTGAAATTTCCATCTACACCTCACAAAGAATGTTTTTTTTTTTTTTTTTAAGTGTCGTTCGATTATACATATGTTTTTTGTTGGTTGCTCGGAAAACTTTGACACTTCATTACATCTTTATATTTTATAAAAATATAGACAGAAGCGTCCTAGGAGCATGATTCTGGAACTCCTTTCCCTACTTCGACTATGGTCAGCCGAGGTCAGACTTCTTGTTTTCCCATGCCGGTTAATCCATGCATGGAAAAACAAGAAAAAATACACACAAAGTTACTAGGATAGCTTGCTTTTTTATATTTTAGCGATATTCTAGTCCAATCCAAACTAAGAGAAGGGGGATTCAAAATTTCAAACTTGGCCACACTAGGATTCTCATATTATGATTGATTCTAAAGTTAAAGAATATAACCAAGTTGATCAAGAAATTTCAAAATTTCTAATGCAAACTTATTAGAAATTTTCTGTGACGGTGTTGAAGTTGGGATTTTTGTTGTTTTCGTATTGAAGTTGGGATTGAAACAGAAGATAAAGCATTATATAAAGTTACATTACAATTAACATGTTCTATTAAATGAAATGGCTAAATATTGAAAAACATGCTACGCCGCGTTGATCAACTTCGGCAACGAGCATCAGCACTGCATCCACGATTGTAGGGGTTGCTCTGACTCTGACCACCCGGCTTGCAGTTGTTGGAGGAAGCACCTCTCTGAGAGCAAGGCACAGTGTTTCTCTGCATAGCTTCATAGCTTATGTTTCGCGAGGTGGCCAAGATGCGCCTGCTAATCTCCGAGTCCATGCCAAACTCATCATCACGATCATCCATGCACTCTGCTACAGAACCCTCGCAGCGAGGTCTCACTGGAACCCAGCTGACCCCATGATCGCCGCCTGCATCAACGGAGATGACCAGAGCGGCCACGAAAATCAACAAAAAGATAATCGCAGAGAAATTGGCCATAGGTTTTGGTACGGTCTGTGTTTTTAGCTGCCAACTTGTATTTTGTTGTACGCCTGTTTAATTACAGAGGGAGAGAGAGTGGGGGCGGCAAGAAAGAGAAGTGACAATCGGTGAAATTTTGATGTGTATATTGTTTCACCCTATTGTGCTATTTATAATAGTAAAAAGGGAAAATATATGTCTTTCAAGTAATCCATAGTAGTTAGGGAAAATCTTTGTCTTTCAAGTAATCCATCTAAAATAGGACACTATGTAAAAGATATTATACAATTTCATAAGGATGTACACAATCACATTCCTAATTAAATTAGGACTGACATATTTAAATTTGGTTAAATAAAAATTGGATGTTGATTTCTTCAAGGAGGTAATTACTTAATTGACATGCATTAATTCAATCTTATTCCAATTGCAACAAAGAAAGCTGAAATTGGAATAATTCGTGATTTATTCAATGCCTACCAAGAAAACAAAATCAACCACGACTAGAAAATATGCTCGTAGAGATTTACGGGCTGTTTTTGCTCTTAAGTGCTTTTGCTAAAAGCTCTTTTATCAATACGACATTGAGACTTTAATTAAAAAACTAAGTCCTTCTCGAAAAATATAAGCATGCATGCCAATAGATTGAACTTGTTTACAACATCAGCATTATAATGATATTACACTCAATTCATTCTTGCTCATAGAATTACAGACAAAACAAATCGGAAACCGAACTAAGCAATAGTGCCAACTAGATTGCTCAACTCTCAGGCCTTTATTCTTGAAGATAGTAATATCACTCAATGTTCCATATCGTATGTATGCATAAATCTTGTGCTTGGCCCTTATTCCTTGAGAAGATGTGCATCTACATCTTTAATGACATTGACCACAAAGCTGAGGTACTTCTGTGGAGGCGGATCGTTCTCGCTGAGTTTTTCATATTCTAAAGTAATTTTCACAGAACTTCCTTCACTATTTGGAGTGATGACCTGGTAAGTGACCTTGTAGCTTTTGTAATTGTCCAGCACATGTGATCCTTCCAAAGCTTCAAGACTCACCCGCTTGTTTGCTTCATCTATTTCCACCTTTTCCTTGTAAGTCTCGACATTTCCATCTACACGTCACATGGAAAATTACAATTATACAGCAATCCGATCCTTTAAATGTTCAATGTGAGGTAATGTAATCCCTATGGTGCTTGCTTCTTCATGCAATCTCACTACCACCTCCACAAGTCTGCGGAGTAAGCTGCTACTCTTTCATTCGCCCCAAAAGGGGCTCATTTCACTATCTTTTACACAACGGAGGCTGTATACAGCTACGAAAGAACATAATTTGGCACCCGGGAGAGGGACGATCTCCAGAGATTCTTTTACATTTTTTGTATTTCTTTTTGGTTGAATCATTTCTTGTAATTTAAACATTTAGCGTCATGTTGTTACACCCATCGCTTTTTTCTAAGGTTTACAAAATTAATTGTTAGTTTGATTAGTTAGGAGGAGAGAGGAATGTTATTAATATTACCTACGGTGTATTTCCAGAGCTTGACAGAGTCAGAAGTTTCCCAGTCACCTTCATGTACTGTAACATCGTATATTTTATCAGAGGCTGCTTTGGGGACGTCATGGTGCTTGTTGCTGATGAATTTGTACAGCTGATCAGCTTTGGCTTTGATCTCTACCTCAGCCTCCAGAGTCTCCAGCTTGCAAGTACCAGCTCCACTCACAGCCATTTTCTTTTATTTGTTATTTATAATACGTGATTAACGATAGTGTAGGTCTGGGGAATTTTAGGAGACGTATACGAACCTATAGATTTCCACTTCTTACATAAAGCCATGTTATAGTTATGGAGGCAGTATGTGGATATTATCCAATCACTTAAACAGTCAAATGATAACAATGTGACTGGATCTTCCACGTAGTGTTTTATCACCACTACACCTAACAAAATTTAATTAGTACCAGCAAAACCTTTTTTTTTTTTTAATTAAAAGAACAATATCTCTTCCACTCCAGCATTGTTATTATGAAACAATATATTATTGTGAATACAATAAAGAAGCAAATATATATATATATATATATATATATATAAAATAAGTTAGAGAGGACATGAAGCGTAACCCTAACAAGAAGTAGAAAACTATTCGAAAAAAACAATCAATTAAGGCAATTCTTAAGAAAAACGAAAATTTGGAAACTTGATGAGGCCCAAGTGGTCACAAAAATACCACAAAACCAGCAAACTTGATGAGAGATATCAACCTATACATAAGAGGATCAATGCTTGATCAACTTTACGTCCATAGCATTATTGGAGTGAATGATTGTACGATATTGAGGCGTTTGCTTGGATTTGGCACGAGAAAAGTGTGTGTGTGTGTGTGTGTGTGTGTGTGTGTGTATTGTATAGTGATAAAACTAATTTAGGTTTATATTATCTTAACTAGTGATAAAATTAAGGGTTCTTTAGGGCTAATAGAAATCAATGGTTTATATTATCTTGACATACCTGTAGCCTAGAGAAAAAAAAAGGGGGGTTGTATTGGCATCCAAAATAAAATTATGACACAAAAACAAATAATGTGGAGTTCATGTTACTTATTTGGAATCAATCAGCCGAATCATTGATGCCTAATTTCAGAAAAGTTCTTCTTTTCTGGATGCAGCATCATTTCACAGCATTTTTTTTTTCGGTTGTTGTATTGCGAAGGAACTTCTTGGATAGTTTTTTTCCCTTTTACACTAGCTTAGTGTCTTTCCGCCAAAATAATGACTTAGAAATTTTCATCAAAAGGGTTGGCGACGTCGGACAGCAAATGTAGAACAAATTAATATTTTTAAGTTGTTTTCACTTTGAAGGTTTTGTTTTTATTCATTCCCTCTTTTGATCTAATTCTTGGCCTTCTTTTGATTCCATATGTGTGTAAGCATGAAAATTATAGTCCACCCACATTAAAATTTTGACCCTGCCGTTAAGGATAAACGTGCCAATAGGCGCCCTGTCCTGAGATTTTGGAGGCCCTATGCGAGACTCAAACGGAGGCCCTTACAAGGTCTAAATTTTGGTTGCTATATTTTCTTTTATTTTCTTGTGTATAAATTGATATAAACGCAAAAGAAAATAAATAAAAAAAAGCATGGTTTGGTAGCTATGTATCTACATTTTTTATGTTTTTGGGCTCGAACTTACTTTTTAAATACAAAAAGCATGGTGTGGTGGCTATGTACATATCATATCACCGTATATATATCATAATCAGAACAACTCATGCTCTTTATTATGAACTAGTTAAACAAATCACTAGTTATGATATTTGTAGCGTCTTATAATGAACTGTTAGTTTTTTTATTGCATTTTTTCTCACTCCCTAAAGTGAGAATGATTCTAGCCCCCACTCGGTGGATTGTCGTTAGATTAGTTAGAATTCAAGATTCGTGTCTTAAATCAATTAAACTAAATTAATTAACGGTAATCAATAGGGGATGAGCATCAACTGCTCACCTCCACTTTAGTGTTGTGAGCAAAGTTGTATTATATATGGATGACTAAATAGTCTTCAAATATGATGAAAATTAGATGATCCTTAAAAGCTGACCAAAAGAATAAACAAACGACATGTATTCGATTAAATGATGTCATATATGAAAAGGGGGTTTAAAGATTATATCTTCAAACTTTTAAGGATTTTAATTAATTATGATATTCCTAATCATAGATTTATCATCAAAAGTTCTCTTTTATAATGATAGAAATTAAACTACAAATATTAAAGAGAAAAGAAAAAAAATTATTGTAGTTCAAAGAAGGAAAAGAAAAAATTAATGTAGTTCAAAAAAGGTCCAAAATGGATCTGCTACTGGGAGTCGAACCCGTGCAAGCACAAATATAAGTACCAGCGCTTGACGACTCCCTTAAGGGAACAAGGTGATTTATTTTCACACATTTTTTATATGTAGTATATTACAAAGGTTATTAAAATTCAGGCGCCCCTAAAAATCAGGGCCCTGTGCGGTCGCACGCCTGGCACCCCCTCAGGGCCGGCCCTGCCAATAGGTTAAACTTTTTCACACCATAACATAAAATGCTATTACACTCAGCTATAGTTGCTCATAAAATTAAAGGCAATCCGAGTTGGAACTAAACAAGAAGGCTATAGCTTGCTCTTCTTCCAGCCTTTATTCTTGAAGATATTAATACTACTCAAAGTTCCATGCATGTATAAACCTTGTGCTTGGCGCTTATTCCTTGAGAAGATGGGCATCAATATCTTGAATGACATTGACCAGAAAGCTGAGGTACTTATGGGGAGGCGAATCGGTCTCGTTAAGTTTCCATATTCTATAGCAATTTTCGTGAAACCAATTCGCTTTTTGGACTGACTTGGAGAATGATCTTAATGCTTTTCTATAGCTCAAGCACATCTGATCCCTCCAAAGCTGTAAGACTCACCCACTTGTTTGCTTCGTCCATTTCCCCTTATTTCCTTCAAAGTCTCGGCCCTTCCATCTACACGTACGTATATATGTAGATCATTCACATAAATTACAACTATTCATCCACCAATGATCGGATCATGTTATTCATCGTGAGGAAGTGTAAACCCAAGGTGCATTGCATGCTCAATATATTTCAAGTTTAATTATAAAATTAAACCTTATAGTTAAGCACATAAGAGGTGAGGTTCATGTCCCCCTATTCTCTTATAATTAAGCATATCTTGTTTTGAATTTTTTATACAGAGAAAAAGACAAAAAGAAAAGTGTGGGAGGAGGGAAGGCAAGGAGATGGTAATGAGAGGGAAAAGAATTGTATTCTGAGTGTTCAGGGGGAACCCAGAGAGCACACGACTCTTCGTCTTCAGATTTGAGAGTGAACGCTTTGCATCCTACATCATTCTAATAATATTGCCCAGTTCTCTATTTTATTTGAAAAAAAAAAAAATGAGGTAACGCAAACCCTAGCTAGGTTTCAAGTTAGCATGTTTATTTTGTAGCAAGCCAGTGGGAATTAATTAAGAAAATTTCAGTTTGGGTTAGGAGGATAGAGGAGGGTGATTAATATTACCTATGGTGTATTTCCAGATTTGACAGAGCCAGAAGTTTCCCAGTCCCCTTCATGTACTGCAACATGGTGTACATTATCAGAGGCTTGGGAACGTACACGTGGTGCTGGTTGCTAATGACTTTGTACAAACAATTTATCAGCGTTGGCTTTGAACTCTACTTCAGCCCCCAGTATCCAGCTTGTAATCACCAGCTCCACTCGCAGCCATTTTCTTTAATTATTAATTAATATTAAAGTTCGTCTAAGATTATTTTGAAAGAAAACTAATGAAAAGAGTTTGATAATTTTAAGTTTTAACGATAAGGATAAAATAAATGATAGAGTGAATAATATCAATATTAACTTTTTAATGTAAAAATATAATTTTTCGTTAAAATGAACAGTATCAGGAGCTTTTCGTTAAAGTTCCCCATTTTTAAAGGAGATATCAAAAGTATCAAATAGAAAAACAAGACAGCATCGTTCAAAAAAAGGGAAAGGGATCATCTTCGGATCCGTTCTACCTAATCTTCCTCATCAAACAATTCGGACTCCTGAAATTTGATCCAACGGCTAAAGTTATTATAACTTTTAGAGTAGGTCTGTATTTTTAACCATTTGATCAAATTTTAAATACCCAAATTATTTGATGATGAGAGTTAAATGAAAAGCATCTGGAAAGGATCCCTTTTCCAAAAAAAGAAAAAGAAAAACAAGACATCAAGGGGGCATTTGTTTGCCCTCACTAAAGTGTATTGGACTGGACAGGACTAAGGGTTAGTCTAGTCCCATGTTTGTTCCCGATAGGGACTAGGTTTAATGAGACTAAGTCTCACTCGCCTAGACTAAATCAGGGATTAGCTGGTCTTAGTGAGAACCCTTGAAAACCATGGCACTAGCTAAGACTGTCCCCTCACTCACCCTCGAAAACCATTGGACTATCACAACCAATTTCATATAAAATACCAAATTGAATATGGGAGTGAGGGGATTACGATTCCACCTGAATCGAGGCCAAAAGGTGATCGGAGGTGGCCGAAAAATGGCCTGGAAGTCTCAGCCGGTTTGGGTTTTTTTTTAATCCATGACAAATTCGAGCATGCAAAGCTCGAGTATGGGACCAAAGATAGGGAAGAGTTTGTTAGTGGTGCAAATCTCATCTAATCCGATGAGGTTTAGTCAGAAAACTAGTCAAGAAACTTGCAACTCATCGAACAAAATGGAGTTGTGAGGGTTCCATTCAACTAGTGCAGAGCTAGACAGAGAGAGAGAGAGATACATACTGAAATCGAGAAGAAGAGAGGAAAGAGAGGTTGGAATCGAGAGGTTTAATCTGGGGAGGAAAAGATTGGAATGGAAAAGGAAGAAAAAGAGGGACAGAATGGGACGGTGAGGAAGGAATAAAGGGATAAAAAAATAGGATGAAAAAAAAATATTAATAATTATGGATTAAATAATATAATATTAGAGTTTGTTAATTATCATGCTTGTTAATTCGACGCTGCACCAAACGCTTCACTAAGTTAGTCCAGCTTAGTCTAGTCTAAGCCAGTCCAACTTAGTCCCTGAAACTAGTCCAGTCCAAAATAATCTGATGTAACAAATGCACCCCAAGTTTCTTTCAACTAGGGGTGGGCAAACGGGTACTAGACCCGCGGGGCGGGTCGGATACATATGGTTCGGGGTGGGTACGAGACGGGTCTTAAAATTGTAAAACACAAACGGGACGGGCCGGGACGGGTTCAAGAAATTAACTGGGCCGGGCGGGTCCAAAAGGCCCAAGAAACAGGACCCTGGCCAGACCCGTTTCTCCCAAGCCCACTCAATTTTCTGGTCCAAAAGTCCAAGTATTGCGTTGGTTTTGTGCAGTACATTAGTACTTGTACTACATTTCACTTATTTCTTTCACTCATTTCATCCTTTTTTTTTTTTTACTGTTTCTTTCTTTATTTTTGTTTTATGTTTTTCACTCATTTCACTTTTTTTTTTTCCCACTCAGACCCTCTTTTTCTCCATCCCAAGAGACCCACGATCCCAAACTCCATTAAGGACAAGAAGATTGAGGACTCAATCGAGAGACTGCCATCCAGTGGTTGGACAACAACTAGTTATCGGATGTCAATGAGTTCGAAGACAAGACAGAATTGGAGAGCATCTGCAACCCAATCACAAGGTGAAATTATTTAGGTTTTGTGAACTTGAAATTTTATGTTTTATCTGGGACTTGAAATTATAGATCAATGCTTCTTTTTTTTTTCCCTATATGCAGAACCTTTTGGTCGATGAGTAGGAAGTGGAAATCACAAGGGAATTGATTGAAATTGCTTAGATTCAGAAACCCTAAGGTATTCCCTTTCTTTTATGATGAGAAGGCAAATTGGATTCGTGGGTTTGTATGTAAGAGTTCTGTGAAAACCCTAATTTAATCCCTAATTTTCCTTGAGAGTGTAGATCTTGCGGTGGTTGTTTTGATGGAACCGCTGATAACGATGTTGTTCGAAGAAGCGAATCTTCGAATGAGGAGAACAAAGAGGAAAGATCGCCAGACTTGAGGCGTGAGTGAAAGATTCGGACTCGTGAGGATCCGTAAAAACTAGCCCATTTCAAAAGGGCCGAGTTAGGTTCGGATCCTATTTTGAAAAATCCAAAACCCACACTACCCGTCCCGTTGTATTTACAAACAGATCCAGTCTAGTTCCTTCAATTTTAGGTTCGGCTTGGGCAGCCCGTGCCCATCCCTACTTTCGACAGATGAATTTTATTAGAGGTGGAATTGACGTCCAATATCACAGGTGTTTTCTGACAGCATAACCCAATTACGTCAAATCCATTAATTTGATTATTTAATAAATGGCTCCCACAGTACACCAATCACGAACCCCACCCAACCAATTTACACAATTTTTGTAACAGTAGGTCCCACAATATATAATAAAAAAGAAATTTGACTCATCATTTGAATAAAATAAAATAAAATAAAAATTTAACATTTAACTTCAAATTCTCATTTTAGTCATTAAATAAAATTTGACAATTTATAAAAAAGTAATGTCAGATAAACTATTTTTTTAGACTAAATTTTATAAATTATATGTATTTGTTAACGATTAAATTATTATTTAATTATTGATTAATGTTGATATAGAGCTACAACTCACAAAGTCCTACACAAATAACATGTTTTAGTTATGGTGGCAGTTGTGGATAATGGATATGATCTGATCACTTGAAGAAAATGACAAGTCTGCGGATCTCTGTGGATCTTCATCTTTCACATTGGAGGTTTTATGACTAGGCCTACCAAATTTAATCGCCAGCGAACTTAGATAATGAGACATCAATAATTCAACAATTCAGAAGACTTCAATTAAATTGTGACCCATAAATAAATATGTGGAATTACTATTACTTCTTTTGTAATCAATCAAAGCTGAATCATTGATGCCTAATTCAGAAGGAGAAGTGTTATTAGCACTCTAAAAGTCTCATTTTACACTTATCACAAGTGTAATTTTCTTTCTTAATATAGAAAGTTTGGAGTGTAAAACGAGATTTTTGGAATGCTAATAATAATTCTCTTCAGAAAAGGCTTTTCTGTTTTGCATGCAGCATCTGGACACAGGAATATTCTTTGGGATTCTAATTACGCACACGTATTATCTTTTCAAATATAGAAAGTTTGAAGTGCAATTAAATTTTTAGAATGTAAATAAAATTAACTTCTTTTATTAGTTTTTTTTAAGGCTCACAAAAATGGTTGTCTTTGTTGTTTGGCGAAGGAACTTGTTGGATATCATCATATTGTTGTCTTCTTTTTCGCTTGTATTGCTAAAACATAACTAATTACAAATCGATTTTCATCAAAAGGGTTGTTAAATGAGATATTAATTAATGCTATTTTTTTTTCTTGATACTATTTGGGTCTCTCAACCTCGATATATTATTTTTCATTTTATTTCTTCCACGATCATATGTAATCTTCATTGTTTAACAACAACTAAAAATACTATTGTTTCTTTAAAAAGGTACTACGTATTTGATTAAGGCGATTTTATATGACGATGAGCAACAAAGTGGAGATGGTGCACTACACCTTTTATTTTGCATACCATAGTTCATACATTACAATCTCACATATGATATCCCTTCACGTACATTTGTTACAAGGCAACTTACAAAGCAAAACATTTTAAGTACTTGTAATCAAGCAAAAGGCACGCATTGTTAACACAAAGATTATATACTAACGATGGACGTCACACCGTTTCACCATTGCATTCTTTTCCTTTCCTTAATTTATCATGCCTTGATAAAGTGAGCATCAAGATCCTTGTCGATGTTAACCATCAAACCAACATATTTGTCCGGACTGCAATATCCTCAGTCAGTTTCTCATATTCAGTCCGACAATTTCGCAATGTTGCCTTCATTATTTTGAGTGAATTGATAGACTGGCTTGAAGCTCTTGTAATCCTGGAAGACATCTCCTTCCAGTCCATTCAGTGTTATGGATTTGTTCTCGTTGTTTGACTACCCTTTTTCCTTGAACACTCCAACTTCGTCCCTTATGTATTCACAAGAAAGTGGTCTGTATATTGACCAAGGAACAATAAAGGGAGCGTTTGATAAATAATTTGTTTTAAGTTTTCATAAAAATGAAAATTGTAGTTATTTTTGTCAGTTTTCTAAATTTATATTGGTAATTTTTATTTTTTGAAAACTGAACTAACATGAGATGGTTGAATTATTGCGGCACACCTCGATTCTTTACCGACATATTTTGTTCTAATTATCCATTATATCAATATATATGTTTCACTTATGGGTTAGTTGTTCGCTTGTGAATTAGGGTTTAGTTATTGCGATCCTTCTGATATTGTTGGATTATGATTAACATATAATTGTGTTCTGGTCTTGGAGAAAAAAGGTACACATCATGTTAAATACATGTAGGTATTTATAATATAAATATATATTATGCACGTATACAGTAATTCCAACTTTTGATAGATCAAGTCGCGAGTTTCCCAGTCTCCTGCATGCACCTGAACTCCCGGGATACTGCCAGAATAAATTTTTGGAACGTGTGGCGAACCTGGCTTTTGAAGATATTGTAGAACTTCTTAGCGGGTGCCTTAATTAATCTTTGTCTCAACCTTACCGTGCAGAGTCATGTTTGTGATCAGTTAGGATGGTACTCAACAATGCGTACAAGGCCTGTTCTAAAAAAACTTAAGGGCAGCCCTTTACTGCTACAGTTAAATTATGTAATATTAATTTATGCGATAACTTTGAAAATGTACTGCTTCGAAGGATCGCATGAAAAACATTCGTTTATTAAAAAAAATTCAGATAAAGGAGAAAAGAAATTAGGTTTTCATCTCTCTTTCTTCTATTGCATTAATTAAAACCTTATTTCTTTTTAATTTTTTACCAAGGTTCTAACTTTTAATGAACGTCATTATTTCTGTTATAAATTATTTATATATCAACATAATTTTATTTTTGAAATATATTCAATTAGTATTAGAAACATTACATTTGGTACATTTATATTTATGGTTAAACTTTGTAATATATATTTCTACTTTTAGTTTGTACCATTTTTAATTGGCAACCCTTTTTAATTTGTACCCATATATTAATTTCATTTTGTGCCCATAATTTTTAAATTTTTATTTATACTCATAATTCATTTATAATGTACCCATATTTCATTCAAACTCCTTTTTGTTCTTTATAAATGTACCACTTTGTTATATGTAAAATGTACCAATTTTTATTTTATTTTATAAATGTACCATTTTTTAATGTAAAATCTATTTATTTTTTTGTTAAGAATGCGTACATATTTATAATAAAATGTACCCCTTTTCAAATTTGAACACTGTAGGTACATTTGTTTGACATTTATTATTTCAAAGGTATGCTGTTATCTATTTTTATTTATTTATTCAATCAAATTTTTTTTAGTATTTTCTTTTTTATTGTAATCATTTTTAATTTATATGCCATATAATATGAGATTTTAAATCCAATAACATGTCAAGTAATTAATATCAAACATATGAAAATACATATTAATAGCAATAATGAGGTGTACAAAGTAAAGAGACTTTGATAAAAAATTGAATACTATTAAGGGTTTAGTCAAACAATATTATTGACTAGGAACTGGATCCAAAGTCTCCCTAAAGAAAATATATAAGATAAACGTACGTAATCTCTTTCGGTTCAATTAAGAACATGATTTGGATCAATAATATTAGGGTGCTATTATTGATATCATTAGATTTCAATAACTAATCACTGGTTTTTTTGCAATATTATACTTTTACATTTTCAACTACCATATTTTTTCCTTCTGGATGTATGAAAATTTAGGTATTGTGTTCGTTCTTTTGTTGAGAAGTCATCACCAACTCCCTTGCCCTACTATTTTTATCAAGGAAAAATAACTCCCCATGTTTAAAAGCTGTATAATTAACCAGGATGAATGCTGGACAACTGTCGAAAGCAAAACTCAAAATACATTGTATAATTAACAGTGAGACTACAGCCTGACGAAGAACATGATTGTCAAAACTTATATGAAAAAAATGATGTCAAGTAAATTTCTAATGGATCGAAAAGTGAGTATTTAAAATATAGAAAGTCTTAAGTGGATTAGTGTAGACTATCTTTTGTGCTAAAAAAAAGTTATATATATATAATGTTGAGAATGAATCTTACATTGATGCGAGGAGGGATCTTGCATAGACTTATAAGCAAGTTGGGCTTCTTCCCATTGGCAATTGGTTTTATGGTGTAATCTCAACTTTCTTTATGATATCAGAGCAGGTTGTCACACGTATACAGCCAAACGGCCACGCGCGCTCTATGTCACCCCTTTGTGTTGTCCACGTGTTAGACTTGAAAATTCGCCACACATGAGAGGGCGTGTTAAGAATGAATTTCATATTAATAGGAGGAGAAACCTTGCATGAATGTATATTGGACAAATATTGTAGAGTACACCACATTTTATTTTATAGATGTGATCGACAACCATAATCTATTACATCACAATGTCATATATGACATCCTTCGTACATCTTTTACAATACACACAAAACTAATTAAGAAAAGCATTTTATTTAAGTAGGTACGCATTGATGAACACATGCATGCATGATTACATATAATTGAACCCTTTTTAACAAGACCAGCAAAAGCTCTTTCCAACCGTTGCATATGCTGCAGCATGCACACTTGGTTTTTATTCATTAATTAATTAATTTATGCTCCCAGAAAGTGAGCGTCAAGATCCTGGACGAGTTTAACCATCAAACCGACATATCTATCCGGAGCTTCAACATTCTCATTCAGTTTCTCGTATTCGATCCACAGGTTGGCAATGCAGGTGCCTTCATCTTTTTGAGTGAATTTATAGACACCCTTGAAGCTCTTATAATACTTGAACATTTCTCCTTCCAATCCTTTCAGAGTTGCGGCCTTGTTCTCATCGTCTAGCTCCACCTGTTCCTTGAATATCCCGACATGATCCCCTATATATACGCATGCATGCATTCATGGTTAATTTCATAACAACAAAATATATAAACTTTCTCACCCTCTCTTATTAGGATCTTGTTTCCACTGTAGCAAAAAGGGGGCAATATGACTTATTTAGGAAACATGTATTTACTGTATCGGACCTTCATTGTCTTGAGCAAAAATTGAAGGAAGCATTGAAATAAGAGGTCATATATGGTAAATACATGATTTCTACGATTTTTCTATCTCGACCTTGTTTTTGCTACAATAAATCAGAATTTTTGCGAAAAAGCTGTAAACATTGAAACTCATGCTATGATATGATGATTTGAGCACATCTGTTAAGGTATGCATACATATAAAGTGAATAATTAAACATGAAAATTGAATTAAGTAGCAATACCTAGTTCATATTTCCAAATCTTAACAGAGCCGTGTGTTTCCCAGTCTCCTTCATGCACATCAACTCCTTTGATATGGGTATTAGAGATGTTTGGGATGAGGTGGGCACTCTTGAACATGTTGTACAACTTGTCAGCTGGTGCCTTGATTTCTATTTCAGTCCCAATTTTACCATGCAGAACCATGTTTATGAGCAATTTTGATGGGTGCTACTCATAAATTATAAGAGAAGAATGTTAAAGGATATGCATAATTTGGCTCCAACCCTCCTTAAATACAAGCGACTAGAGTTAAATTGCAAGATAAAACTCAATGTGTCCGGAACACGATGCAGTACGTCATATATATGTAATATAAGTGGAGGGAAAGATGGTTTTTTTTTTTTTTTTTTTTTTGTTCAAGTGTTCCTCTACTTGTGTATGACATATGATATATATACCCGTGTTCTGGATATTAAAAATTCTCTCGTAATATTTTAATAGTTGGTAATCCAATTTAAAAACCAAATCATGCAACACGTGATAAAGATTAAGTCATATATTTTTAAAATCATACTTCTCGGATAATTGGAATCCTATGAAGTAATGATCACAAGTTCACAATATGCATGGATAGATGAAGGGTTTGCTCATGAGTAAAGTTAGGGAGATCAAATTTCTAAAATTAAAATTTATAAATAAAATAATATAGAGGTAGATGATTGAATTATTACTTAAGTGTTGATTAACATGCTTATTTCTTATTAATAACATATCATTTGATTTGCATTCACGCATGCAATAAAGATTAGATTAGTACGATCGCACTAAAAATTTATCTGTAAATATTTTAAAATAAAATGTCATTTATCTGCAAAATGTTTTTTTTTTTTTTTTTTTTTTGAAAATGTACGATATTCCTTAATAACAAATGAATATGTACATCAATGGGGATAGGGTGCAAATAAAGGGCCTCGATAAAAACCTTGCCAGGGTTTTCAACCCGGTTGAAGGCAAAAAGAGTATCATGCACCAACATAATTAATTAGGAATTGCTATCCTCAAAGAGAAGATCAAGAATTACATTAGGGGGGTTCTTCAAACCAAGCCACAATGTAACCATAACTCAAGCTCATATGTGCACTTTGTTCGTCTCCCTTCCACTTAGGGCAATGAATGAATAATTACGTGCGTCGTTTAGAATGTTTCCAAAATGTGAATTGTCATCACTTCCTTCTGCAAAATGTTTTAGAATAAAAAGTTTTATCTCTTGAAAGATCACATCTATTTATTTATTATCATTATTATATTTTTGGATAGATCGATACGTATGGGCCATGGCTTCTGTTTTTTTTTTTTTTTTTTTGTTAAAAAACCATCAAATGGGGAGGCAGGGATGAGGTATTAGGTAACCACAAATGTCAGTTTCACAAAATCTTACTAAAGTTTGTAAGTTTTATCTCTTAAATGATCATATCTATTTATTTATCATCATTATTATATTTTTGGATAGATCGATACGTATGGGCAGTTGCGTCTTGTTTTTTTGTTAAAAAGCCATCAAAAGGGGAGGCAGTGATGAGGTATTAGGTATCCACAAACGTCAGTTTCACAAAATCTTACTAAAGTTTATAGATCTTTGAAGACTATCATTGATGATTGATCATCCAACAGGTGCATTATTTATTTTTTAACAAACGGAAATATGACAGAGGAATGTGCTAAGTCTTACAATGGACTTGGCAAAATAATGTGATTCATCTTCGCTTTTAGTGAGAATCGAACTTAAGGCTTCTTACTTATAAGTGAAAAAGAATAGCACTAGACCGTATACTGAGTGGCCACGTGCAATATTTATAGATAACAATAATAACAGGAAAAAAAAAAAATTCTTTCATGCTGGGCCATTTTTTCTAAGGTGATGCTAGAGAGACTATCTTTTTAAACTATAATTGTAAATCACATGATGTGGCGGTTGATTGTTAGATTATTTTTTTTAATCATTAAAAATGTAATCCAACCATCAACAGACCCATCATTTGGTTTACAAAATTTGGTCTAAAAAAATGGTCTCCCTATCATTTTGCTTCTCTGTATAACTTTTAGTCATGACTCTATACCAACTTTCATTTCTAGATTTTAAAATTACACCATGTTACTCGTTAGGTCTGGTTTCGAAAAATCGAAAACCGAAAAAAAAATGAACTATTCACCAAACCAAAAGCGCAAGAAAAAAAAAATTTGAATAAGCCGAATCGAACCAAAATTTCGGTTTGATTTGATTCGGGTAGTTCAAAAACCAAACCGCACCGAAAGACCTTGTAACCATAATAGCGTCGTTACACACTTATGGTAACCTTAAGGTTGCGTTTGTTGCATTGGACTATCTCGGAATAGACTAAACACAGGGACTAAGTTAGGCTAGTTTAGACTAGACTAAACTTGATTAATTTAGTGAAGCGTTTGTTCCAGTGTCGGACTAACAAGCAAAATAATATTTTTATTTTTTTTTCTTTTTATTTTTCCTTTCCCATTTTCTAGAACACATTTTCTCTCTCGAGAAAGTTCTCCCTTTTCTCCATTTTTTTCTTGAAATGTTATCCTCACAACCCAGAATCATCGTCTGCTCAATTGGGTTATTCTGATAATCCCTATGTGGGCCTCTGCAACCACAGCGTCATCTCAATCTTTTACACATCTTCATACATTCGCTCAAATCACAAAACCCAGATTCGTTGGAATTGCAAAAACCCATATTCAAATCACAAAACCCAGATTCAATCCCAAATTCGCTTGAATTACAAAACCCAACTTCACTGGTAGTGCAAATCCCATATTCAAATCATGAAACCCAAACTCGAAATGCAAACCCCAGACTCAAATTGCAAATCCAAAATTCTGTTCGAAGCTTTGCAACATTTGCAGAAATCAGTTTCCACCCACAAAATCGAGAAAATGTAAATTATTGAGAGCGCAAGAGGAGGAAGACAGCCCTCCAAAAGACGCGACTTATTTTTGTATTCTTCAAGATTCGAAATGAACAGACGAAGAGATCATAGGTTTGCGAGTGTAGGCAACGGCAAAGCGAGCAGACGAGGCAAGCAAGGAGAGGAGAGAGAACGGGATGCAAAAAGGTCTTAGCAATCCCATGGTTTTTGGGGGGATTGGCTAAGACCTCCTAGTGAAGGAGATAGTCCGTGCAAGTCCCGTTTAATCCCACTTAACTTAGTCCGTGTACACAACAAACATGGGAGTACCTTAATGTCTAGTCTTATCTAGTCTAGTGAGAGTTAACGAGTCCAAACAAACACACCCTAAGTGATTCCTCCTCTTCTCCTCGTCCTCATCGCTTCAGTTCAATCCTCTCCTAACTTAAGTCATGTTCCTCTGCGCCTCTAACACTCCACGTCCTCACTCATCAATCCCTCCTCGACGTCCTCAAGTTTCAGATAATTAGAATCACCTCGATAGACCAAGAAAAAGAAAGACATTGAGATCCATCCATCGCAACTCCTTCACCACTGCTCTTCCATCACAGCTCCACAAAACTTGTCACCCTTTAAGCTAACAGTGTTTGCTGTTGAAATTTTTTTTTTTTCGGACAAGCCATAGGATAATCCAAATTTATCTAAACTACGAAGAAGGAAATAGTTTGAACACAAGACACAGTGAGTTAAATAGAAAATAAATTTCTATATTTGGATCATCATGAAATGAATTAAGAATGAGGGAAATTGGTCGTTATGGGACAATTACAAATTTTTGTTGCTGAAATAGTAAAATCAACACAACCAACATAAGGCTTGACATGTAAAATGTCTCAAATGGCCATGTATGTATATTACCTAGAACAAGATCATATTGATTTTCCTTTTACTTTCAGCAAAAAGTATTTGTAATGTCCTACAACCACCAATTTTGCGTAGTCCATTGAAAATGAAAAGAGAAGCAAAAACACAATCCAATATCTAGATAGTATATCATACTTTTGAGATTCGAAATCCTAATTGTATGATGTAATCATTAACTGTGCACATCAGCCATGCATAATTGAGATCCAGTTAAGATTTACATATTAAATTATATACAGAATCGTCTTTGTAAACATGAGGTATTGATCACTTATTTAGCAGATCTATCTTTTCTGGAACTAACTGTAACCGGAGAGGCAGAAAGGCGATTATGTTTATCTGAAACCACCGGGTAATCGAGTTTCTTACTATTGTTTTCATCTTTGTAAGACTTTGAAGGAGATGCTGATCCAAATATCTACACTCTTAGGCTTCCACCTGCAGAGAAACAAGAAGTAAACATGAATAATGCATATAAAAAACAAACAAGTATACATCAACCTACAAGATGCTTGGGGATATGCTGAAGTGCAGGGGAAAGGATAATGCATTGGTCCAAAAGGTTGAAAACTTAAAGTCAAAGACACAAGGGAATAATCAGGTTCCACAAGGATGCCGCACGATCCCCATGGGAATTTATAAAGAACTAAGAAGTATGTCAAGGTTTGAGTTTGAATATTGGTACTGAAGTTTGGTAAACTTCTAACCAATATAACGTCTAGTTGACAGTATGTCCACACCACCGATGAAGATTAACAGTAGCATTAATCACGATGTAATTAACATGGACATAACATAAGGACAACATATACTAACCTCATAACCGAGCGGAGCTAAGAAATTTTCACTTTTCGTGTTTCTCAAAATGTGCTCAGTTCTTAGCATATGGACACCAATACTAACCTTACAATTGATATCATTGCGTTCGTTCTTTTGTTGAGAAGTCATCACCAACTCCCTTGCCCTACTATTTTTATCAAGTAAAAATAACTCCCCATGTTTAAAAGCTGTATAATTAACCAGGATGAATGCTGGACAACTGTCGAAAGCAAACCTCAAAATTCATTGTACAATTAACAGTGAGACTACAGCTTGCGAAGAACATGATTGTCAAAAGCTATATAAAAAAAAGGGTTCTTTCGAGAAAGGCCCTTGAAACTCTTATTTTCCAAACAAAAACCCACATAATATTAAACATTCAAATAAAACCCAAAATTCAAATAGAATACCATGTAGACAAATATATAACCAATTATTACAACATATTTACAACTTATGCCACAAAACCCTAATTATGTCAATAAATATTATTACTCACCCTAATTATGATTAGCAATTAACCCCATATGGAAATTTTACCTTTCTTGTATCATAAATATTAGTAACATATATATATATATATATTAATTTATGCATATTCATAAACAATTATGGCACATTTTTCGTATGAAAAAAGAAAATCCTTTGTACAATTAGTTATTTTGCATCAAATAATATTGTTTGATAAAATAACAAACCAATTAATATTTTATGTTGTAGGTAAATTATTTTACATAGATTATTACATACATTAGACATTTTTTATTTGTTATTATATATGTGTGTTAAAAATAATTTATCTATATTTATATGTAAAATATAAGTAAATTAATTTTGAATCAAATAGAATTTATTTTGTAGGTAAATTAAAATAGTAGTTACATTGTTTTGGTCAAGTTAAACAATAGGTAAATTATGTTGTAGGTACATTATGTTTGTAAAAATTAAAAAAAAAAAAAAGGAAAATTGAAGGTAGTAGATATATTATTTTTAACCAAATTTCCTTTATTTGTAGGTGAATTATTTGCATGCATTATCGTGAATTATTTGCATGCATTATTACATATATATTGGCCACCTTTTACTACTAATATATATGTGTGCAATGATTCACCCATATTATTATATAAAATATAGATAAAATTATTTTGAATCAAATAACATTTCTTTTATTTTATGAGTAAATTATTTTGCATGTATTACTGGGCAAATTTTATAGTGCCCTTTCATATTTTCATTTGGTAAGAAAATAACAAGATTAAATTAAAATTGTCTAATTTTATGCAAATTTGAAAAACAATTACGAAATCTTAAGGAAAGTATAACATTAGTGCTCTTTTTTTTTTTTTTTTTTTTTTTGCCAGAAGCAATAATATACAATTTGTTATGATATATTAATATGCAATGATTTTAAACATTAATGCATTTTTTTCATTAATCCCTCCCTTCAAATTTGCATAGAATTAAATGTATACATTAAAACCGTAATTAGGGGTATTTAAGGCATCTAAAAATGCAAAATGTGTAAAGGCAAACATAATTAATGAATTTACTTATGTGGAGCCTAGTCATTGGGTTTTATTCAGGTAAAAAGACTATGTCAGGTTTTTTGTAACGAAGCTTGAGTTTTAGGGGCTAAAGTCATATTTTCAGTAAAAAAAAAAATGATATTAGTGTAAATCTCCAATAGATCGGAAAGTGAGTCTTTAAATTATAAAGTGTCTTAATTAAGTGGATTAGTGTAGAATATCTTGTGTACTAAAAAAAAGTTATATATATAATGTTGAGAATGAATCTCACATTGATGGGAGGAGGGACCTTGCATGGACTTATAAGTAAGTTGGGCTACTCCCCATATTACCAATTGGTTTTATAGTTTGACCTGAAATTTCTTCATACTATCAGAGCCGGTTGTCCCATGTGTGAAGCCGAACGACCACGCGCTCTCCATTTCACCCCTTTGTGTTGTCCACGTGTTAGGCTTCAAAATTCGCCACACGTAAAGAAGTGTGTTGAGAATGAATCTCACATTGATAGGAGGAGAAATCTTGTATGAACTTATAAGTAAGTTGAAAAAAAAAATATTGGACAAATATTATAGAGTACACCACATCTTATTTTATAGATGTGATCGATAACCACAATCTATTACATCACAATGTCATATGACATCCTTCGTACATCTTTTACAATACACACAAACCTAATTAAGAAAAGCATTTTATTTAAGTAGGTACGCATTGATGAACATATGCATGCATGATTACATATAATTGAACCCTTTTTAACAAGACCAGCAAAAGCTCTTTCCAACCGTTGCATATGACATATGGTTTTTATTCATTAATTAATTAATTTATGCTCCCAGAAGGTGAGCATCAAGATCTTGGACGAGTTTAACCATCAAACCGACATATCTATCTGGAGCTTCAACATTCTCATTCAGTTTCTCGTATTCGATCCACAGGTTGGCAATGCAGGTGCCTTCATCTTTTTGAGTGAATTTATAGACACCCTTGAAGCTCTTATAATACTTGAACACTTCTCCTTCCAATCCTTTCAGAGTTGCGGCCTTGTTCTCATCGTCTAGCTCCACCTGTTCTTTGAATATCCCGACATGGTCCCCTATATATATGCATGCATGCATTCATGGTTAATTTCGTAACAACAAAATATATAAACTTTCTCACCCTCTCTTATTAGGATCTTGTTTCCACTGTAGCAAAAAGGGGGCAATATTACTTATTTAGGAAACATGTAGTTACTGTATATGACTCTCATTGTCTAGAGCAAAAATTGAAGGAAGCATTGAAATATATAAGAGTTCATATATGGTAAGTACATGACTTCTACAATTGTTCTATCTCGACTTTGTTTTTTCTACAATAAATTAGAATTTCTACAAAAAAGCTGTAAACATTGAAACTCATGCTATGAACGTATGATGATCTGAGCACATCTATTAAGGCATACATACATATAAAGTGAATAATTAAACAGGAAAATTGAATTAAGTAGCGGTACCTAGTTCATATTTCCAAATCTTAACAGAGCCGTGTGTTTCCCAGTCTCCTTCGTGCACATCAACTCCTTTGATATGGGTATTAGAGATGTTTGGGATGAGGTGGGCGCTCTTGAACATGTTGTACAACTTGTCAGCTGGTGCCTTAATTTCTATTTCAGTCCCAATTTTACCATGCAGAACCATGTTTATGAGCAGTTTTGATGGGTGCTACTCAGAAATTATAAGAGAAGAATGTTAAAGGATATGTATAATTTGGGCTCCTACCCTCCTTAAATACAAGCGATTAGAGTTAAATTGCAAGATAAAACTCAATGTGTCCAGAACACTGTGCAGTACATCATATATATGTAATATAAGTGGAGGGAAAGCTTTTTTTTTTTTTTTTTTTTTTTTTTTCTTCAAGTGTTCCGCTACTTGTGTATAGCGTATGTACCCATGTTCTGGATATTAAAAATTCTCTCGTAATATTTTAATAGTGGGCAATCCAATTTAAAAACCAAATCATGCAACACGTGATAAAGATTAAGTCATATATTTTTAAAATCACACTTCTCGGATAATTGGAATCCTATGAAGCAATGATCACAAGTTCACAACATGCATGGATAGATGAAGGGTTTGCTCATGAGTAATGTTAGGGAGACCAAATAATAATGTGGAGGTAGATGATTGAATTATTACATAATTAAGTGTTGATTAATATGCTTATTTCTTATTAATAACATGTCATTTGATTTGCATTCACGCATGCAATAAAGATTAGACTACTACTATCGCACTAAAAATTTATTTGTAAATGTTTTAAAATAAAATGCAATTTATCTGCAAAATGTTTTTTTTTTTTTTTTTGAAAATGTACGATATTCGTTAATAACAAATTTATATGTACAGCAATGAGGATAGGGTGTAAACAAGGGGTCTCGATAAAAACCTTGCCGGGGTTTTCAACCCGGTCAAAGGAAAAAAGAGAGTCCCGCACCAATATAATTAATTAGGAATTGTTATCCTCAAAGAAAATATCAAGAATTACATTAAGAAGTTCCTCAAACCAAACTACAGTGTTACATAACTCAAGCTCATACATGCTAACTTGTTCGTCTCCCTTCCACTAAATTCAACCTTCCACTTAGACAATGAATGAATAATTGCTTGTGTTGTTTAGAATTCTTCCAAAATGTGAGGTGTCATCACTTCCTTCTGCAAAATGTTTTAGAATAAAAAGTTTTATCTCTTGAATGATCACATCTATTTATTTATTATCATTATTATATTTTTGGAAAGATCGACACGTATGGGCCATGGCGTCTGGTTTTTTTATGTTAAAAAGCCATCAAATGGGGAGGCAGGGATGAGGTATTAGGTATCCACAAATGTCAGTTCACAAACTCTTATACTAAAAGTAATTGAAAAAATCAAACAAATCAATCAAATATTAATTTTTTTTTCCAAGATAATCCATTAAAAAGAGAGATTTGGATTCTCTTCTGAGCTTAAGGAGAGGATTTTCCTAATCAAAATACATAGACAGTTAGATTTTTATCCAACAGTTATAATTATTATAACTTTTAAAGAATTCCTTGTTTGTAGCCATTGAATAAAAATTCAACGGTCTACATGTCTTAGTTAGGAGGATCCAAATCCTAAAAAAAGGTCCACAACATAGTTTTTTCCACTAAAGTTTATTGATCATTGAAGACTATCATTGACGATTGACCACCCAACAGATGTATTATTTATTTTTTAACAAGGTCCACAACATAGTTTTTTCCACTAAAGTTTATTGATCATTGAAGACTATCATTGATGATTGACCATCCAACAGATGCATTATTTATTTTTTAACAAACGGTAATAGTTACACAAAAGGAATGGAGGAGTGTGCTAAGTCTTCCACTGGGCTTGGAAAAATAATGTGATTCATTTTCGTTTTTGGCAAGAATCGAACCTAAGACCTCTTACTTATAAGTAAAAAAGAATAGGACTAGACCGTAATACTGAGTAGCCACGTGCATTATTTATAGATAACAATAATAACAGGATTTTTTTTTTTTTTTTTATTTTATGATGGGCCATTTTTTCAAAGGTGATGCTAGAGAGACCATGACACACCCCTATCGAAAATCAGGGCGTGACACCCACTGGAAATTTCTGCTCGCGTGAGTTCCTAGAAACAAAACAGTGAGGGCGTGGTCGGGGCCCAAAACGGATAATATCGTGCTACGGCGGAGTCGAACCCGGGATGTGGTGGGGGCCCGAGCCAGGATGTGACAGACCATATTTTTAAACTATAATTGTAAATCACGTGATGTGGCAATTGATGGTTTGATTATTTTTTTTAATCATTAAAAATGTAGTCCAATCATCAACCGCCACATCATTTGGTTTAAAAAATTTGGTCTAAAAAGATGGTCTCCCTAGCATTTTGCTTCTCTATATAACTTTTAGTCATGACTTTATACCAACTTTCATTTCTAGATTTTAAAATTACACCACGCTACTCGTTTCGAAAAATCGAAAACCAAAAAAAAATTGAACCATTCACCAAAATTTCGGTTCGATTTGATTCGGTTATTAGTAGTTCAAAAACCGAATCGCACCGAAATACCTTGTAGCACTGGACTATCTCGGACTGGACTAAGCTCAAGGACTAAGTTAAACTGGCTTAGACTAGACTAAACTGGATTAATTTAGTGAAGCATTTGTTCCAGTGTCGAACTAACAAGCAAAATAATTTTTTTCTTTTTTTTTTCCTTTACCATTTTCTACAACACACTTTCTCTCTCGAGAAAATTCTCCATTTTTTTCTTGAAATGTTATCCTCACAACCTAGAATCATCGTTTGCTCGATTGGGCTATTTTGATAAATCCCTATATGGAGCCTCTACATCCACAGCTTCATCTCAATCTTTTGCACATCTTCACAAATTCGCTCAAATCACAAAATCCAAATTTGCTAGAATTGCAAATACCCATATTCAAATCACAAAACCCAGATTCAATCCCAAATTCGCTTGAATCACAAAACCCAACTTTGCTGGAAGTGCAAATCCCATATTCGAATCATGAAACCCAAACTCGAAATGCAAACCCCAGACTCAAATTGCAAATCCAAAATTTCGTTCGAAGCTTTGCAACATTTGCAGAAATCAGTTTCCACCCACAAAATCGAGTAAAGTAAATGATTGAGAGCGCATGAGGAGGAAGCAGGTCCTCCAGAAGTTGCGACTTAATTTTATGTTCTTCGAGATTCGAAACGAACAAACGAAGAGATCCTGGGTTCGCGAATGTAGGCAACGGCAAAACCAGCAGACGAAGCAAGCAAGTAGAGGAGAGAGGACGCGACGCAGAGAGAGAACGGGACGCAACAAGGTCTTAGCAATCCCATGGTTTTCCGGGGATTGGCCAAAACCTCCTAGTGAAGGAGATAATTCGTCTCTCGTTTAATCCCACTTAACTTAGTTCGTGTAGGCAACAAACACGGGAGTACCTAATGTCTAGTCTTATCCAATCTAATGAGAGTTAAGGAGTCCAAACAAACACACCCTAAGTGTATTCCTCCTCTCCTCCTCGTCCTCAAGTTTTAGATAATCAGAATCACCTCAATAGACAAAGAAAAAGAAGGACGTCGAGATCTCTCCATCGCAACTCCTTCACCGTTGCTCTTCCATCACAGCTTCACCAAAACCTGTCACCCTTTAATCTAACAGTGTTTTCTATTGAATAATTTTTTTTTATATTTTTTTACAAGCCATATGATAGGATAATCCAAATTTATCTAAACTACGAAGAGGGAAATATTTTGAACATAAGACACAGTGAGTTAAATAGAAAGATAATAAATTTCTATATTTGGATCATCATGAAATGAATTAAGAATAAAGGAAATTGATTGTTATAGGACAGTTACAAATTTTTGTTGTTGAAATAGTAAAATCAATACGACCGACATAAGACTTGACACGTGTCTCAAGTGGCCATGTATGTATATTACCTAGAGCAACACGATCGATCATATTGATTTTCCTTTTACTTTCAGCAAAAAGGATTTGTAATGTGCTACAACCACCAATTTTGCCTAGTCCATTGAAAATGAAAAGAAAAGCAAAAACACAATCCAATATCTAGATAGTATATCATACTTTAATCCTAATTGTATGATGTAGTCAGTAACTGTGCAAATCAGCAATGCATAATTGAGATCCAGTTAAGAGTTACATATTATATTATATACAAAATCATCGTTGTAAACATGAGGTATTGATCACTTATTTAGCAGATCTATCTTTTCTGGAACTAACTGTAACCGGAGAGGCAGAAAGGCGATTATGTTTATCTGAAACCACCGGGTAATCGAGTTTCTTACTATTGTTTTCATCTTTGTAAGACTTTGAAGGAGATGCTGATCCAAATATCTGCACTCTTAGGCTTCCACCTGCAGAGAAACAAGCTGTAAACATGAATAATGCATATAAAAAACAAACAAGTATACATCAACCTACAAGATGCTTGGGGATACGCTGAAGTGCAGGGGAAAGGATAATGCATTGGTCCTTCATGATATAACCAAATGAGCTGGCTTAGTCGCGCATACGTTGTACCTCGGATTGGATTAAAATTACCGTAAAAAGTAAGAAGCTCAAAGTTTTGTCCAAAGGGTTGAAAACTTAAAGTCTAAGACACAAGGGAATAATCAGGTTCCACAAGGATGCCGCCCATGATCCCCATGGGAATTTATAAAGAACTAAGAAGTATGTCCAAGTTTGAGTTTGAATATTGGTACTGAAGTTTGGTAAACTTCTACCCAATATAACGTCTAGTTGACAGTATGTCCACACCACCGATGAAGATTAACAGTAGCATTAATCACGATGTAATTAACATGGACATAACATAAGGACAACATATACTAACCTCATAACCGAGCGGAGCTAAGAAATTTTCACTTTTCGTGTTTCTCAAAATGTGCTCAGTTCTTAGCATATGGACACCAAAAAACACAGCAATTAAGAAGTTCAACAAATCTCCAACCTGAAAAGGCTTTGTTTGTTACAATTTGACTAAGAGCAAGTGAGACAGACTGATCACCAAAATTATAAAAAATGATGATGATTCTCTATATATCTAAAAGGGGTAAAAATAACTTACACTGGGGGGCGATCCACTGGATTCCAGCATTGCAACTCCTATGATAAACACAAAAGCTCCAAACCAGGTACGAGCAGGAACTATTGCTCCTAACATACCATCAAGCAAGGGAACAGTAACTACCTGTTAAATTCAAAAGGAAAATGCCAAACATTGTACCTTCAGGTACTCCCAGAAAGCAAGAAATTTGCCTTCCCATATATGCATAGAAGGTTAATTAAGGTACTTGCAGTGAACATGGGCAGAAACGATGCACGACCAGCATCTGAGGTTTAAAAAGGAAGAAGCTTTTTACCATAAACGACGGTGATGACGTTGAGCAAGATGATGTTCCTTTCTTGGAAGCGAAAAAGATCCTTCGCCAAAGAGATCGTTTGCCGAACAAGGACTTGAAGCTTAGGGGTCGTTACTCTCCTTTCGTCTTGCGATCGATTTCCACTAGAATTTTTAACCAATGTGGTTGGGTTCGGATTCCGA